CACAGCACCTGCTGATGCCTCGCCCCTGAAGGCAGCAGGCTTACCATTTGTCAACGCGATGTCTGGCTGACGGATGGTTGCATCGTGCTTGCAATTCGCTGAGATTCAGGCTAGAATCATAGCCTCAGCCTCGTTGGATGTGAGCTGTAGGACATGCTTAGGATTACTTCTCCGAGAGTTCGCTCTCTCTTTTTGGCTGTAGCAGGCGTATGGTAGCTCGTCCTGTTTTACAGTCGGCGTCCTGGGAGTTTCTCCACAGGAAAAAGAAAGTGAAAATACGCTCCACTAGCGCATCCGTGTCCTGCTGGTCATGGGAGCTTCTCCGCAGGGTAGATGGGGAGCAACTCCGCCGCGCTATCGGTCCTGCTCCTAGCCGGATCTTTGGATGCGTTCGCCATCTCGGTCATAGAGATCGCCAGTGCACAGGGACTGGAAGCTGGTAATACATACTGGCGGCACCTCATCTGGCGTCAAATACACTCCGTTGCGGCTGATGAGAAATCTAACTCCTTGCTCAGAGGCTTTACGGGTTGAGATTCTCACCAGCATTGTGGAGCCTTCACGTTGACCAGAGGCTCCACCTGCATCGCTAAAGAATTCTTAAGTGCACATGCTGCCGCCCTTCGCGCCACTTGCCTCCCTTACGGCCTCCTTTGCCACCTTTCGTCTGTGCCCTGCCAGGAAGAAGCCCCCTTTGCTGGATGCTTTCATAAGCATTCCAAGAGGTACCATGTAGCAGCGTGTCGGGGAGTTGCTCCTCCGACACTGGTTCCAACAGATTCTCTTCGCCAACCTCTGTTCTGGAATGGCCTTGTACAGCCCGAATGAAGTAAGGGCCATCGACTTGGAGTCCCAGTTGGTATCTCTGTTTTCGATTACTGCGTACCACCTCCAGAATGTCCCCGGCAGAGGCGGAGGTCTCAGCAATGCGAGGCCAGAAGAGCACCTCAGACAGTCGTGCCCATCCCGCTTCGTTGACGTGTATGCGCGGCTTGTGATTGTGGCGAAGGCATGCTGCTAGACCTTTGGAGATCTCAAATGCCAGCTGGCTCTCTGGATTCTTCGCAGATTCCCGGAAAGAACCAAGCGACCCCTCTTCGCCAAGCCATTCCTGGACCTCCGGGATCGCCTCCTCAACTGTGGCAAGGGCCCCACTGTCTCGAGCTTTGCCATCGGAGCGAGCAGAGGACCCATGTGGCGCAATCTCAGAGGAGCTAGAGGGAGTATCTCCACTCTTGGCAGTTCCCAGGGGAGTGTCTCCACCCGGGGGTCCCATAGTCGTCGCATGCACTGACAAGCGATCCCCCAGGCCGAGCGCGCTGCGTGCAGAGGCAGCTCGAGGGTGCTCGACCACTCCATCAAGTACTCTGACGCCTGGAGGCTTTGCTGAGTAGCTATACGGAGGTGTATCGCCACAATTTGTACGCTGTCAAATGCTTGTATGACTTGGTTAGTCTGTTTATCCGCCTTGAGGCTGCCGCGGATGTCGTACACCACCTCCACGCACGGCTTCACAAAAATGTGTCTCGCGCCGTAGCGCGTGAGGGAGCTATAATTTTCGGCGAGGTGCCGGTTAATCGGCCTGTGTAGGTAGACGCCGTTCCTGTCTGTAAAGGCACGAGTGCCTGGAATCCCAGGATCGCTTGGGAGAAGCCGACCAGTCGAGAGGATTGCGTGTAAACATTCCAAGTGGGTTCCGTGGAACCCAACGTACTGCTGTTCGGCATCTGCGTCCAGGCGGTTCGGAGCACTGTATGCAAACTTAAACCAATTGCCAGGGAAGGCTACAGCACTGCCAAGTTTAGAGGAGATATCCTCCCCCGCCAGGACTTTCCGTGTGCGGAGAAACGACGACATTAGGGCATTGGCGATGTCCGTGTTGGGCTCTGTACACGGACTAAGGCCCTCGATGAGCTTAGTGGCCGCCACTGTCAGTCTGCCTTGGTTAATGTCCGCGATGCTGCCGCCACAGGTCGGAACATAGTCAGGAAATTCCGGATAGCCAGCTTCCTCCAACACTTTAGAGGCCTTCTTTCCCGGCTCTCCTGAGCTTGCTGCTGCGTTGACAGTGCCCCCGCAGTCTCCAGGGGAGTTTCTCCACCTTTGGCCTTGACTGCAGGGGGAGCATCTCCACCCTCTGTTAGCTCTTGTCGCCTCTTTGGAGGCGGTGGTGGGGGAGTCACTCCACCCTTACCACCCTTGCCTCCCTTCTCTATGGGAGGCTCACCTCTTTCTGCATGCCCTTCCTCCGAGCGACGCCATTGCCGCAAATAGTTTCTATAAGAAACGCTGGGCAGGCCATCCGCGGCCCGGCGCGCCGAATAGGCCGCGTACTCCGCGCGGTAGGAGTCATCCTGCTGTGACATCCCTCCTGGGCCGCTCTGAGTGTTGCTCTGCTAAGCAGAGACGTGGTGCTTGAGTGATTTCTGTGAGCCAGAATGAACGGGAAAGTATGACTAGACTACCCTGAGCATTGGCATACGCAAATAATAGTGCAGAAAGCTCGAGGCTCTGGCGGATGGACGAGCCCTCGGTGCCCAAGCGGCCTATGCATGCATTTTGGCGGGTCTGCGAGAGAGAGTGAATAGCTTTTTACTCTTGACGCGCCTTCCCTAAGCCGCTAATCTAATCCCGGATCTATGCTGAAGCCGCAGTCCGTCAAATCCACCAGATCTTCAACCGGCAGGTTGGCTAGGTGACGGACATGAAAGGCAACCAAGACCAGCCTGTCACCATGCCACGGCATTGTAGCATGCTGTTGAGACGGGCTAAAGCGTATCGGAGAGGTGACATCCATGATGCTGCCCAATGGTCCTGCAGACTCTAACCGGACACTCCCTCTGTCGTTCTGAAGCCAAGACCGCCTCCTTCGAAGATGGAGCATGGAACCAGTAGGTTGTTGCTTCTGCGGGCATTATGGCTGTCACGGTGTGCAGAGGCTCCCGTATTGAGAGATAGTGTACGCGAGCTGAATCGGTGCTCTGGGTCTATAGCCTGGATGATCATGGCCAGAACCTGAGTGACTCTTGGGTATTCCTTCATGTGTCGGGTGATGCCAACGTTGGGTCCTCGCGCGCATGCTCCTGTGGTGAAGGTCATCGGAGCAAGTTCTCCGGCTTGTGCGTACTGAGGGAACCTTGACTGCCGCGGATGCGGAAGTAGCTGAGCTATGCGAAGAAGATCCGACCATTTTGCTTCCTCTGCACTAAGGCACTGGTTCGCTATTGGCTCAGCTGGATGCATGTCCTCCGTGATAGGCCGATCTATTGGCTCGATCAGATACTTTTGCAGCTGCAGGCACGCTCGAAAGACAATGTCACTCTGGGCATAGACAGATACTGGCTCCTCAAGGATTCTGTTCAGCGACCCGGCGAACACGCCCTGCGGACATTGTGGGACATGTACTGCGCCGAGCGGTGATTGTGAGTGTGCCGCCGAGTGCTGCTCCAACGGAGCCTCCTCCTCCGATCCTTCCGTGAGATCCATACAATGATCTGGACTGCAGGGTGTCAGCATCCGCTGAAAGCGCGCATATGCACGACCTCCCTGACTATTTGAATCCATCACAGTCGTATGCGGAGTTCACTAGATCCTTTGGGGGGTTTGCGCAACAACGTTGCGGCAAGAGAGCAATGTGCTTCAGACATGTCAGTTCCTATTGCAGCAAGGATAAGCAGTTCTGAGGCCCTGACCGTTACCATTGACGGAAATCCTCCTCACCGGGAGTAACTCCTCGGAAGTGTGGCGTTGCCTTCCAAAGAAAAAGTCCAAATGGGCCCAATTGCAATGAAAGAAGGAAATTATGCGAAGCTAGGTGCAAACCGCTGCTTTTTCCAAAAACTCATGGCCATCCTCCCTCGACAGTTACTCCGCCGCTCTTGGGAGTGCCTCCTCTAAAGCTCTGCACAAAGGGGAGTTTCTCCACCTGCTACCCCCCAGGGGTTACTCCACCTGTGGGGGAGAGCTGCTCTACCCCCTAACTCCACTCCGCATTGAGGAGTTCGTTGAGCTTGAGGTCCCACTCAGCAATCGCCGCGTTGAACACAGCGTCCTCCCTGAAGTAGCCCTGGCGTACAACCTCGGCGTTCACCTCGAACTGCAGGCGGACATCATCCGGTAGCAAAGATTGTGTGTGTGCCCGAGGATCTGGGTTTCACGGGAAGCGCCTTCCAGATCGTAAAGGAAGCCTGCCAACCTCGACCAGCCCAGTTCAGTGGGCTCACGCGACTTAGCCATCGCGTAATACGTCATCGCCAGCTGGCCGAGGTTGTGTCGCCGCTGAAGCTTGATCTCCTGCCACTCATCGTACCCCCTAAGGGACTCGCAGTACAAGTGCAGGCGCTTGAGTTTGTCCGCGGGGAGTAGCTCCACCGCTAGCAGAAACAACTGCGCTTTGATCTTCACCATCTTCGCATCAATCAAAGTCTGCACCTGCGTGATGTACGAGCCGGGGAGTGACTCACTACCGGCTGCAACCTCTGTCTCATGATACAGCGCTGCCAAAACTGGGAGGAGTACCTCCACAAGACGGGTAGGCTGGAGACGATAGGCCATGATCGCGAGGGGCAGGGAGAGTTGCTGGGAGCTCTTGAGATGCACAGGCTGCAATAAATAAAGAATGCCGCAAACACAGGCTCGAACTGGCTGGGCATATTGATCTATGATCAGGGCACACTGGCCTGACGGGAGCAACTCCACGTATACAGACCTGCAGCAAGAGCTCTTAGCATGCCTGTGCTCGAAGGGGAGCTGAGCTTGCAACGCCGACGCGGGAGTGGCTCCTCGAGCACTAAACATGCGATTGTCAAGCCTGCTCCTGACTGTATTTGTTCCCGAGCTCACAGAATCTCCCCCTGTTCACCTTCTGCTGAGGTTTGCAGGAAGTGGTGCGTGTTCATGCTTGCCTTTAGCGTAGCATGTTGCGGATCTGTTTGATGAGCGGTGACGGTTGTGCTCCCTGTTTCTGGAAGTCACCGTTTAGCAGTGAGAAGGCAGAATTGTTGGCCAGAGTCCCTAAGGTGTCTAGCAACTCTGAGGTTCCAACTTTGCAAGAAAACTGAAAAAGCAGGCGCACCGGACCTCCCGTCATGTTGTCGCCTATGGGTCGCGACGTCTTAAACATGGTCACCTGAGTCGAGTCGGCTTCCAGCCGGGAAATGACATCGCCCAGCCCCGAGAGCAGCTGCGACGTGCTCAGAGGGTCCTCCAAGGATTCTACCATGGATTGACTGCCCGAACTCCATTCAAAGTACGGCCATTCCCCATGCAGAGTCATCACGCCCTCTTGCTTGAGTTTCTGCTGCACTGTCTCGGACTGGCTGACCTTCACGACTCTGTCCTTGAGAGCCTTGAAGAATCGAAGCGTGAGCGCGTGTCTCGGGGGAGATGGGGGAGCCATCATGCCTCTGTGACGTTTGCTCTCCTCATGAAGCTCTTGCAATACTGAATGAGCATCTGTTCGGACATAGGATATGTAGCAGAGGTCAGATGTCAATGCTAAGAGCTGCTCGTCATGCCGTAAGACGAGCCTAGCCACAGCATTCACGAGGTCATCGTCGGCTGCTTCTGACGGCTTTCCTTCTCTGCGCCGCTGCCCTGCTTGCTTGCCCTTGCCTTGTCCCTTGGATGAGGGAGTTGCTCCACTCTTAGGACGCTTCTGGGGAGAATCTCCACCATGCTGGCTCGGGGCTTCGCCGCGTTTTGAAGAAATGTCGGACATGGGCGCGTTTCGAAAGAAGTCCTCCAGCGACATGCCTACAGCACTTGTCCTGCCTACTCAGGTGTCTGGAGAGGAGCAGCTGAGGGTGTTGCGTATGAAGTTTAAAGTGCTTATGACGGCCTACGCAGTCCCGCCTGAGTGCAACTTGATGGATGGAAGTGTCAGGCCTGCTGCCGCTCGAGCAACAAGAGATAGCAATTGCCTGTGATCAACGGGTCATTGATCTGACAAGCAGTCGGGGGACGGGAATCATCTGCTAAGTACCATTGTTCTTCTGCTCGGATAAGACTACGGTAATGCCCTGAGGTGGGCTCCTCCCCGAGATGGACCACGCCAGCTCGAAGCTTGAAAGAGTGCCAGGTCATGGTTGACCCCACGCCTTCATATGCAGGGATCAAAAGCAGCTCCTGAAGTCGAATGGGGCTACTGTTTTTGCCATCTCCTGCGTACCTCGGCAAGGCTAGGAACACTAATTGTTCCGCGGCTACCAGAGCTCGGACCGGCATCTGACTGCTCTACCTGTTGATCATGGTCTGTAGGTCCTCGGCTAGCGGCACATTCAGAAAGATGGGGCTAATCCCTTCCTCGTCTACCACGTAACCCGCCTCCATCGGAGACCGCGTCTCCCAGCAACAGACCTTAACACACATTGGCTGGATCTGAGGCTCTAGCTTTTGCATCTGAGGCTCTGTAGTTTGGCTCAATTCAGACCGTTTGGCTCAAATGACATCCAACGAACACAAAGGATACAAGTTCTTGAGTCTGGCTCAAATGAGACCTTCCTGCTCTAGAGAATAGATGAATTTCGATCAAATGGAGCTAGGCTTAGGACTCAATTTCTTGACTTTGGCTCAAACACAACCCTGCAGGTCGAAGGATGGTTGAGTTTGGCTCAAAATATACAGACTCGCTTTCGGATCTCGCTCATGTGAGACCCAGAGATATCTTTACAAAAAAAGAGTCAAAAGATTTAGATCTTGAATAAATATTTAAGTTTGGCTCAAACAAAAAAAGCAAGACTATGTTTTCTTATCCAGTACGGGAATTTCCTCTGGGGTTTTAGTTTGGGAGACTACTCGATTTGGTTGTATGTGTGCTCATGCATACTGATGGCCACATATCGGCAAACGACAACCACCACCAGAGCACCAACAACAGCAGCACCACCACCGCCACCACCAACAGCAATGATCGTAGCAGCAGCAGCAGCAACAACAAATACAACAACAACAACAACAACGACGACAACGACAACAACAACAACTAACAAATGCTATCACCACTACTAGTGCTGCAGCAGCAACTACCACAGCAACAGCAGCAACCACAACAGCCTTGAGTTAGAGCTTTGGTGTAGGCTTGATTTTTAAGGCTTTAGGTGCTAGGAACGACTTAAAGGATTGTTTCCAGGTCTGGGAATTGAATTCAGTTTAAGGTTTAGGGTCCGCGATTGAAGCATTGGGGCTTTGTGTTCAGGCTTTAGTGGTGATGGTGGTACTAGTAGTAGCAGTCCTTCTTGTTGTTGTCGCTGCTCTTGCTGTTGTTGTTCTTGCTGTTGCTCTTGATTGTGGGTTGTGGCTGGTGTTGCTGCTGTTACTGTTGGTGTTGCTGCTGTTGCTAGCGCTGTTGCTGTCTGATGCTGTTGTGGATGCTCTTGCTCTTGCTGTGGTGGTGGTGGTGGTGGTGGTGGCGGTGGTGGTGGTGGTGGCGGTGGTGGTTCAAGCCGTTGTGGTTGTAAAGCCCTAAAGCCTTGAGAACCCAACAGCCCTAGAGCCGAATCCTTCGCGTTTTGCATCACCAAAATTAAAACCTAGGATACAATCCCTTATATATAAGGCCTAGAATCGAGCCCTAACCCGAAACCCTAAAGCCCTAAGACCCTAAACACCAAAGGCATTACACCGCTACAGCCCTAACCCCCCGAACCTTAAAACCTAAACCCTAAGCCTCTCCAATCATCGCCAAAGCGGAGCTGCAGCTGGCTTCACTTTTGAAGCGGCGAAGGACTTCGATTTTGGGAGGGCCAGGGAGAACTGAGCTCAGCCACTAGCGATTAAACCTGCTTTCATTTTGGAATATTCGAGTCTTAGAATATCTGAAGCTTGTGCTTCCAGCGGCTGACTTTTAAAAGTGGGCCCAAGCCAAAGCATCTAGATTCTTTTCGATCTAGATCAGTCTAGACTTCAGTCTAGAGCCACCGCATCACCTGCTGCTTTGCAAGCGATTTCGCGTGCTTCAAGAAGTAAAGCGTTTCTTCGGGCTGATCTACTGTCGAAGCAGAAGATTCATGTGGCTTGCAAGTAGCATTAAGTTCATCTGGTTTGGGGTTATGGTTTTGAATATTTGTTCGGATCCGGTCCTCTTCATCGGCGGAGTAAGACACTCGCCAAACGAGGCGAAGTGCCCTAGAGGAGGTCAGATCCTTGTTCGTGAAATAGCTGGCCCCTGTCGTGAACTTGAACTGCTCGGCTTGCGACTTCTTGACATACTTGAACACCAAAGGGATTTGCTCGGGGTCTGCATTGATCTTGAAGCGGTCAGCTTCGCCTCCCCCCGTCGATGAAAACCACAAATACATAAACACAAAACCTTGCCTTCAGACCCCAAAGCCCTAAACACCCATAGATTTAACCATAGGCCCTAGTTCCTAAAGATTCTATCGGGTCCTGTGCGCTCAATCTGGTGGGAGTTCACGGTAAGATCGACTACTCCCTGCTGCTCCATCTCGACGAGAAGCTGCCTGATTTTAAGGGTTTAGGGTTTTGAGTTTAGCTTTAGGATATCGTTTTTCGGTTTATGGTTTGAAGGTTTGGGGGCTTGGCGGTTTGGATGAAGATTAGGGTTTCTGGTCGCGGTTAAGGTTTGGGTTGTTGGTGTTTAGTTTCCGAAGCCTACAAAACGGGAGCGAGACCGCTACTTTATAATGAGCAGAGCACCTCATCGAGGATATCGGGGCATCCTTCAAGCGTCTCGTCCCGGGTTCTGCCACTTCCAGGACCACTGGCTCATCATCCGACTTCCACTCGCACACGAGGTTCGTCGGCTCCTTGAGAAGGGCCTGCAGACAAGGTTTTGGGGGTTGATGAATTAGAGTCGCACTTAGAGGCCTAAGGGTAATTGAGGGTATAGGCTTGAAGTTATGTTTTTGGGTTCACTGGAAGTTAGGCCAACCGACGGTTGGGGATTATGTATAAAAACCATTTGCTTTGGGCGGCTTCGGGATTTTACTACTAGGATTTGCTAATGCTAATCTTCGCTGAGGAAGACGGAGGAATACAGCGTTTTTTCCTCGCAGCTTTGCTGGTCGAAACAAGGGACTTCTTCATGACAGCTAACACTCGAAGCGTGTGTAAAGCTGGTACCAATCAATAAGAGTATTGTCGGATTCCACAATGAAAGGTAGGCCAATCTTAATTGCTTTCATGGATGATAAAAATGACATCTCTTGGAAAATCTTGAAAGTTGCTCCAGCAAGGCTACGTCCGTCAGTAGGGGACAGGAACGACAGCGAGATTCTCATATTCCGTAGCCGAAGCAAGCCCACAATTGTTGCCGTGCAAGATGGCATGCCAATAGATAGCTGTTTGAAGTGACTGCTCACCACGGCCATTCTGTTTGTGTCTCTACACGGCAGGAAGTCCACTACCAATAAGAAGATAAGCCACTGCGACCTGAGTAGCACATTTTTTTGGACGATGCGAAGCCGATCCCCACAGCTTTCTCTTTGCGGTGCACTCTGTTGTGCAGTCTTGAAATGAAAAGATCTAGCGGTAGCAGGCACATCTTAGTGATGCCCACATAACGGAACTTTCGCAGGTCTTCTAGGCCCTAGGCCCACCTGCGCTTTTTGAGTTCGCTCAAAGTCAAACCTTTCATGGCTTCCTTGCGAGCAGGGTGGCTCTTCCACCTAAGCACGAACTTAGTACTACTCTGATGCTTAGTATTTTGGAGTTTTTCAATGTCATGTTGATCGGCTATGTTTTGTGAGTCGCAATATCTTGCTTTCGGATTGGACCTAGGCAGATATGTAGAAGAAATCAGAGCAACTAAGATGGGGACTCCTCGGCAGCTTCCTTGAACAACGTTTGGATCGTCTTGCCGAAGCCCTTGTGCTTCTCAACATAGTCCCTGCGAAAGTCATTCCACGTGTTTCTCAAGGCACTCTCCTTGAGTGGCTTCTTCTCGGTCTTCTCCTTGTCTAGGGCCCGCTTAGCCGTCTTCGTATTGCCACCGGTTGCCTCCTCATCGGGTGCTTGGCTGCCGGCACTAGTACCACTCGAGCCCTTGTGGTCCTTCTGATCCTCAGGCTTGGCCTTAGCCTTTGCCTTATTCTTGGCCTTGGCCTTCGCCTTTCTTTTGCCCTCGGCAGGCTGCACTATGCCAGCGACCAGGCTGGAGAAAGTCGGCTCCTCGGGCTTGTCCTAGGATGTTTCTTGGGATTCGATTCAATGTTTTATGGTCGGGGTTTGGGTTTCGGAGATTTAAGGACTTGAGGATTTAAGGATGTTGTAGGTGTTAGAATTTGGGGATTTAAGCATCCAAGGGTTTGGTTATTTGGCAGTGGGTTCCGAAGCTTTACTAGTCTCCATTTAACGTAGGGATCTATTTTAGTCAGAATAGGGTTTTGGGGCGCAGTATACTATAACTATATAAAGGAACCCCCAAAATAACATGGGAAATTTATAAGGGCTCGATAGTATCGGCGTTTTCAGGGTTTAATATGGGGCTGTTGACGGAAACTGGGCTTAGGGTTTTCAGGGTTCCAGGGATCAAGGATTTGTGAGCTTTTCGAGGCTTTGGATCTTTTGTGGATTCAAGGTTCAAAGACTTGTGGTATAATCTAGGGTTCATAGGCACCAAAAAGGTCTTTAAGTTTAGCGTTTTATGTTGTTTAGAATTTGGGGTGCAGGCTTTAGTGTTTACTAACTGCAAAGTCTAACCATCCCAGTTTAGCATCCTCGCTGCGCTTCGGGCCCGACTCATCATCTTCGGCACGATCACCCGTCGGGTCTTCTGGGGTCTCCTCATCCTCCTGGGGCTTCTCATTCTTGCGGGGCTTCTCCTTTTCCGTCGACGGCTTGCTCTTGGAAACGGAAAGCGACTTCTGGAGCATCTCACTCACATCTTCGGCTTCTTTCATGAGAGCTTCCGTGGATTCAGTCTCCTCGCAGGATCCCAAGTCTGGTGACTTCAGGAGAGGATCGGTCAGCTTCCTCTTGCAGGCAGGTGTAGATGCCACAGAAGAAGCGGTGTCTTTGCGGCGGAACATTTTCCACTTGTCGTCTGTCTCCTTGCCCGTCGACCCATACTCAGTGCTTTTCGCGGCAGCCTTTTTCGGGGTTGCCAGATTCGATGGCTGGGGTGCTGCGGCCTTTTTCGGGGTTGCCAGACTCGATGGCTGGGGTGCCGCGGTCGCCTTTGGCTGGGCAAGGCCGAGCGGAGTTGCTGCCGGCATGCTGCTTGAAGCCGACATAAGAAAGTCCATCAAATCGTCGCGAGAATCCATGATGTATGAGAGAGAGCCACAAGTAGTACCAGGATGCTAAAGGATGCTTGAGCCAACCTATCAGTATCACAACAGAACGATCGATGCACAACAGGCTGCTAACTGCATACAAATTCCTGGGACTTAGCCCTTGGGCCTCTGGATTCCAGCATCTTCTGGACCTTCTGTCCAGCCACGAAGCTGGCCCGATCGTGTGCCAGCTGAAACTCGTGATCCGGTATGGTGACATCGGCATTTGCAACCTGGGTGCTGGGATGACGTGGGTCAATTACATCGTTCAAAGCTATAGAACATACACTCGCAAAACGACAGGGGGCCAAGAACAGCTTCTTCTCGACGACAACACCCTCTGCCTCCACCTGGCCCTTCTGCTGGACCAACGTGAGCATTGTCGTAGGGTTGCGTCCCGGGCACGACATCAAAGTGTCGTACTTTGCATCGAGTTCAGTCAATGTGCCCGGTTCCGAGGACCATCCTTGATCTTGGGCTTGCTCGCTGGATGTTGGCGGCTCAGCTGATGCTGCCGACGGGGCTTCGGTAGAGGAGGTGGTGTGCAGCCTAGTTTCCGAATGAAGGGGTTAGGGTTTAGGGGTTGTAACAAGACTTTAGGGTTGTTAACATAGGGTTTGGGTTTATTGCTCTAGCAAACAAGACTCAGCACAGCAGTTTGTGTTCGGCTAGTCGCGACTGATCGAACTTGGCCAATGCATCTGACCACTCCTTCTTGCGGTGGGGATCGTCGCTCCACTTGCCGCGTAGCGGCCCTGGAAGCGAGAGCACTAGCTTACCATCCTCCCCGGTCATCATGCTCGCATGGTGGAACGTAGGATCCACTGGCATCCCCTCGCTTGCGTCTCGAAGTTGTGGCTCTGGATCGTAGGCAGCAGCTCCCACGAGGTTCCGGCCGGTTTTCCAATCCTTCAGGGGTTAGGCTTTGGGCTGAGGTTGTGGTTACATTGGATGCAGGATCGCACCTCTAGGAGGTATTGGGCAACCATTCGCTCGCTGTACTTCAGCACGGTCACATCCTCCCCGAGGGAAACCGTAGGCATCCTTGGTTTTGATCCAGAACATAACGGCTAGATCTACTTACATGATTTATAAGGATAATCGGAAGTTTGAATGTGCCATCAGCAGAGCTTCCTGGGTCCATTGCGCAGGGGGGATTGCAAGCAAGCCTTTTCAAAGGCACCGTCGTAAGGAGTGAGATTCACAGCACAGACTCGGCTTGCGGAGGTGATTCCCGTTGCATCCTGCACTGTGTTCACTCTAGAATTTGTTCACCTAAATTGAACCGTCTTGTGACATATTCAGCAGAACTGACTGTCATCACTATTCTGGACACTTTCATGATTGTCCTTCAGCAAAGAACCGATGACGGTGGCCGGCATGTGGGTCCCGCCCAGGCGTTGGGCCGCTTCCTGGACTTCACTGAAAGACCTGAGCCGGAGGCAGTGAGGGGTTTGGGCTTGCCGGTTAGTGTCTAAACCCTTGGAGAGAGCGTAAAGCCCTCTGAAATCTAAACCCGGACCCGTTGCACCTGTCTAGATCCTCCCGCGTGGACGGTGTTGCGTTCTTGGCCCTCGTGGGGACCTTGTAGTCCCGTTCTGAGATCCATTCGATGGGCTCCCGGTTGCACTTGGGGCTTCGGGATAAATCAAAAGCTTAATTATGCTTTGTTATGCTTAGAGCTTAGGATAAAACCTAGGTCTTATTAGGGCCATTAGAGTGCTGGTTTTGAAAATTAAGATTGCGTGGCACCTATCCACCACCAGCTTGCTCTCAGCGAAGATGTGCTCGGAAACCCCATCCGGCCAACAGACAAGTCCCGGGTAGAGCAGGGCTTGCTTCTTATTGAAGTGAGGCTCGTCCATCCGTATGCTGATCGATGTGTTGAGCAAGAACTTAGCATCCAATTTGTCTTCCAGTCGTCGGACCTGCATACTGGGCAGCAAAGACAAAAGCTCAACTTCTAGCCTCAACCCAACCCTCAACACCAAAGCCAGACCCTATAAGCCCTAAACCCGTTTGAGAAAATGCATCAAACCCGTATATTCTGAGCCCAGACCCTTATGGCCTCGCCGCGGATCCCAGCTGCCACTCGATCTGATGGCAGCACCGGTACGATGATCACCCCAACCATCTTCTGGGGGTTGTGCTGGAGAAGGTTGCGGATGGCTTCCGTAATGTTGTCGAGATCATCTTTCTGTAGCCGACCGAACTTGGTTAAGTCGGCCCAGATGATGACTGCGTCCGGTCGCAAGCTGTTCATCCACTTAGTGGCACCAGGGATTGAAAAGCTAGTTGTTTGAGCATGGAACACACAACTGATAAAGCCCCTACCAGGCCTTTTTCACATCCTCAAGCACATCCGCGTCCTTGTACAGGCCGTGCGTGTGCCTGCTGTTCACCTCCATGAAATCCAGGACGAGGCTGGAACCCCGTTTGTTCTCAGCTCGAAGATGACACACTTTTGCCATCTGTTTCGAGCGGCCACATTTCTGCAACTCTGCCAAGTGGGCAAGGAAGGCGGTTAGGTCCAAGCTGATCTTGTAGACGTCGCTTTCGAACTGTTTTTGGATGCTCTCGTTGTCAAGCTTTGTCACCTCCTCCATGCCAAGCTTGATCAGGCTTGCAGGTGCAGCAGTCCCGAGGTGGTCTGTCCAGAGGTTCAGGTCCTGAGGCTTGATGTCTGCCAGCTTGAGCATGCAGAACTTCTCAGCCTCCGTGTTGTAGTCCCTGAAACATTGCTAGAAGCTCAAATGTCCAAGTTAGCACGACGCTGCCTGATAACCCTGTACATGCATACGAAGCACCCTTCCAAGACCTTCTGCGTAGCAGCTCTCAACGTGTCTGGGGTAAACAACACATCTGCGCCGTCGTCCGTCCGGGCCTTGCTCATTGCATCCAAAACCCACATCAAGAGGCAACTGGAGTCCACTAGTGACTCCCAGCCCTCGGGCGACAGTCTCGCAGTTGTCGCTGTCCGGACCTGCTTCCTCTTGATCTGAAAGGCAAAATGGAGTCGCTGAATGAAGAAGGTTTGCTTCTGCCGGTTGACAGCCATGATGTCCTTCCAAATGCCATCGGCATTTGTGTACTTGCCGGTGCTGCCAAGGTGCCAGCGACCGTTCTTGACATTCTCCAAAGTGTATACACACTCACTCCAAATGTAAGTTTGAAGGTGTCTGGACATAAGTGTGCGCACCTCTTCCCCGACACTCTCGATGAGAACCCTGAAAACCCAAACAGAGAACCTCTCTTAAACATAGTAGTAGTAGTAGTAGTAGTCGTAGTCGTAGTCGTAGTCGTAGTCGTGGTGGTGGTGGTGGTGGTGGTGGTGGCAGTAGCAGTAGCAGTAGCAGTAGCAGTAGCAGTAGCAGTAGGAGTATAGGAGTAGGAGTAGCAGTAGTAGTAGTAGTAGTAGTAGTAGTAGTAGCATTGCAGCAGCAGCAGCAGCAA